CTCCAAGGTTGTACCTTTGTCCTCCTCCATCCCGGCCCCTCCCCCTCCTCTATCCTCCTCCCTCCCTCTCTTCCTCGCCTCTCTCCCTCCCGCTCTTAATGGGCCCTGGAAACAACAAGGCCGTATGTTTTACTGGTTCCGTTTTGCCGTTTGTTTGACCTTGTTTTTTCTCTATCGCCCCTCCCGCAATGCTTGTCACAAGGGGTCCGCCCGCCCCCCCCCCCGCAACGGTACGGTAACGATCGTACGGTGGGTGGTGGCGCGAAGCCCCACCCCTGCGCGCGGCTGTCGCGCTGTACACACCAGCGGCGTACACTGGCGCTGTTGTGCACGCAGGCGCTGTGGTGCACAACGGCCCTGTGTTGCACGCGGCTGTTGTGGTGTACGCAGGCGCTGTGGCGCGCGCAAGCACCCCTGCCTTGGAGACAATAGAAGATGATGCTCCTTCCTACCCCATCTTACTCTCCTCACACGCCCTAGTTGTGCTCGCGGGCTACTGCTGTGCTTGCGCGCCGCGGTGCTCTCAGGCTAAAATTCACACCGCGAACGAAAGAAAAGAGGAGGGGGAGCATCCGCGAATGCAACAGTGCTGGGAGGAAACTTGTACCAGACAACATGTTGGTAGATGTGGTTCGTCTCGTTTTTAGCCGCCGTGATCACTATCACCACACATCGCATGCGTGACACGCTTGCCGTCGCATCAGGGCCCGTTGTCCCCCCAGGAGGAGGAGGGGAGGAAGAGGAGGAGGAGAAGGAGAAACAGGAGGAATAGACCGAGCTGGGATTCATTTGCGTGCGACACACACGCCTCTGCCTAGCGTCCCCTGACGAAGGGGTCATGGCAAGCTCCGTGGGCGGCGACAGCCCGTTACGGGCGTTGTGGTGCATGCAGATGATGCCGCAACAGCTGCAGCGGTCCCAAACACTGTGGTGTTCGCACGCAGGGAAGTGCACAGAGACAACGCGGCGTACACACGCAGTGTCGGCCAAAAACCGGGGGATCGCGCCCCCGGGACACAAAAGTCAATGTTCACGAATGGCTGACATATTGATTTTGATACACTCGGGCACAGGGCGGTGGCATGGTCTACGCGTGCGCTCTAATGTACGCGACCGCTGTGACTGCTGTGCGCGCGGCGCTCTGGTGCACGCGGGCGCTGCCTGCGGGCTATACAAGCGCTGCGGGGCACGCGCACGGCTACAGCAACACCGCACATACGACAACGAGTCTGTAATGTACACGGCTGCTCTGGTGTGCACGGGCACAGCGGTGTACACAAACGCTGTGGTGCACGCGGGCCCTGCGACGCTCCGCAGCCATTTTGGCTCACGATACCACGCTTCCCTCGAGGCGACGTGGGTACCGCTAGTTCGCGGCCATTCCCTGCAGTTGCTGCCTCGGTCGAGCCGCGCGTTGCCGAGGGGCCTCGTTCCCCCCAGTTTTGCTCCAGGACATCTGGCCAGCGATGTCTTACTGGAAGTGCGGTGGGTGCGGCGCCTTCAACCCGCAGGGGCAGGCCAAGTGCGCGTTCTGCAAGCAGGGGCGGCCCTGGCGATACTGGTCGCAGGGTCGCCGCCGCGGACGGGGCGGCAACGGCGGCGGCTCGGGCGGGGCGGCGGCCAAGGAGGTCGGAAGCCCTCGGCGCCGTGGGCTCGGAGTGCCGACGGTCAGCGCCCCACCACCAACGCTTGGCACCCGCCGCGCGTGGACGACAAGCAGCTCTTGCGTGCGGTCGAGTTGCCAACCAAAAAGTGGGAGGCCGCCAAGGAGGTCTTCACGCAAGCGCAGGTCAACAAGGTCGAGGCCACGAGGACTGCCCGTGCCAACGGCCTCTGCGCCGCCCGCGAGGCCACCACGGATTTCGAACGCATCGGGAAGAAGCTCAAGGCGGAGGAGGGCAAGGAGCAGCGCATGGCGGCCGACCTCATGGACCGCCTGCTCAAGCTGGACGCCACGCAGGCGCTCGTCCGCGCCCTCCGCGAGTCGCACGAGGAGGCCCGTGCGGCTGCCGCCTCGACCTTCTCTGGCGCGGCCCAGACCCCCGCGGCGGAGCTTCTCGAGAAAGTCACCGCCCACGGCACCTCGGGCAAGGATCCCGCGGCCCTCGTCAAGGAGTTCCTCGAGCAGGCCGCGGCCTTCGCCAAGGCCTCAGCTGCACCGCCAGCTGCCGCCTCCGCCGACGTGCCCATGGGCGACGCGGGCCCGCCAGGAGGAGAGGCGGCTGCCCGGCCGCAGCAGCCCGCGGTCCCACCAGCAGCGGCGCAAGTCGGGCTCACGCCCGGGGTGGGCGCCACACGCCTCCGGGCGGTCCTGTCTGCGGCAGACCCTCCTGGCCTTCTTGCTCTCACTACTGACGGTGAAGAGCGCAAGCGGCTCGGCGACGCGATGGCCCTCATGCGTGAACACGTCGGCAAGAAGTTTCGCGGCGGCTCTGGACCCGCAGGCTCCGCCGACGGCCCAGCAGCAGGTGCTGCCCCCCCCCCCCCCCCCGCGGCTGCAGCGCCCGCCGCCTCCCAGAGCTAGGGAGCAGCCAGCCAACGGCAGCGTCTGGCTCGGCCTCTCCTTCAATGCGAACGCGTTCGCCACGCTGGGCCAGCTTCTGCGCAAGGAGGACCTCAGGCAGCGCGACCTCGTCGCCGCCCAGGAGACCCACCTCTCCACCGATCGCGCTGCCGAGGTCGCAGCTCGACTGGGCCGCCACGCCTGGCAGGCCCTCGCCGCCCCCGCCGCCGACTCGAACAGCGGCCACCCAGGCCATGGAAGCCTGCTCAGCCTCGCCCCCAGGCGCCACGGCCCCGGGCGCTTCGAGGTGAGCGGGCTGCGCAGCGGCGTGCTCGTCCCAGGCCGCGCTGCCATCGCGCGCCATAGCGGCGTCATCAGAAAGGGGCTTCGCGTGGATCAACGTGCACCTCCACATTGCCGAGGGCCTCTCGGCCGCCAACCTCCTCATCCTGGGCGCGGTGAGGTCGGCCGCGCAGAGCCTCGGCCTCCCCCTCGTCATCGGCGATGACTTCGATATGACGCCGCAGAAGCTGTCCGAGGCTACGTGGCTCGGGCAGATCAGCGGCGCGGTCATCAGCCCGACGGTCGGCGCCATCAAGCCCTCGGAGCGCGTGATCGACTTCTTCGTGGTCTCGCCGCGCCTCGCCTCGGCCACCGCCACCGCTCTCCGCGACTGGGACTTCGGGCCGCATCGGCCAGTTCTCCTCGAGGTCGCCACCCAGAAGGTCCAGCCCTGGATCCAGGTCACGCGGGCGTCCAAGCCTTTCCCGCGGCCACTCTCTCCGGGCTGCTGCTCGCAAGGCTACGAGCCAGCCTGGGCCGACGTCCGCTCCAGGATAGTCAGCGCCGCCTCTGTGGATGAGGCTTGGAAGGAAGTCATCAGGATGACTGAGGCGATCTTGATCGATCGGCGCGGCCTCAGCGAGCAGGGCAGCATGCGCCGCGGCAGGGAGGGGCCGCCGACGCTGCAGCGGGTGCTCGCCAGCAAGCCCAACCTCCCCAGGCACCCCAAGCTGGACTCCAGCACGCAGTGGATCTGCCATTGGGCGTTCGAGGCGCGCAGGGCCGCCTCGCTGAGCACCGCGCGCTCGCGCCTAGACGGGCTGCTCAGCCAGCGCAGGCTCAGCTCCAGGCTGCCGCCCAACGCCGACGTGGACACGGCCGACCAGCAGCGGCTCAACACGTGCAGGCGCTGGCGCTCATCGGCAGCGTGCTCGACTCCTTCGATGCGCCTTCTGCAGGGTGCCTCGCGGAGCTCGTCGGCGCCATCTCCAAGCAGTGCATCGAGGACGCCGTGAAGTTGGTGAGGAAGCGCTTCGGCAACTGGATCGACCAGCAGCATGCGCTGGGCGGCAAGGGGCTGCACGCCTTCACGCGCGAGCCCATGCCTCGGCACCCTCGCCCGCCGGCCGCCGACGCGCCCGACGGCAAGGGCGGGCCGCCGCTGCCGGTCCCTGCCGACCAGCAGACCTGCGTCGGGCTGCTCGTCAAGGAGCGGACGCGCTACTGGAACGTCGGCGCCCCCGTGGCGCCGCCGCGGTGGCCCGCCGACCTCGGCGAGCGGCCCCCGAGGCCTACCGTCGCCGGCATGCGCGAGGTCTTCCGCGGCTTCGCCGCCGCCGCGGGCGCGAAGATGCAAGGCCCATCGCCCTCCTCGCCGCCCTGGTCCGCGCCCGCGGGCGCCCGCGGCGAGACGTCGCAGCCGCCTGGGAGAGGGGCCGCCCCAGCGCCTGCCGGCGGGCCTGCGCAGGCAAGGCCTGCGAGCGCGCGGCCCGGCAGCAGCTGGCCTGGGGCGGGCGGCTCAAGGGCCGACCGCGTCGGGGGGCCCGACCTTGACTGGAGCTCGGCGGCGGTCATCCTCGACTTGTGGAAGGCCTTCGAGCAGCTGAAGCACCAGCATCTCGTCGACGCCGCCGTGCAGCACGACTTCCCTGTCTGGGCGGTGAAGCTCTAAATCTCCCTCTACCGACTGCCGCGGGCGCTGGAGCTCAACGGCGCGGTCTCGGTGCAGCAGGCGGTCCTCGCTGGGGACATGCGGGCCACCTTCTTCATGGAGCTCGTCCTCCTCAGCCCGCTCGATCGTGCCCTGCGGGCCTCGCCGAGCATCGCCCCGTCGGTCGCGGTCGACGACCTGGTCTTCCAGCGGGTTGGAGGCAGCGGGCGCGTGACCGACGACCTCGTCGCCAGCGTCGCCAGCGTCGTCGGCGAGCTGCGCGCGGTGGACGCCCACGTCGCCACCGAGAAGTCGCCCCTGCTGGCCGACGCGCCCGCAGCGGCCGCAGCGCTCGAGAGCCGCCTGGCGCAGGCAGCCAAGGCGCGGCCAGTGGAGGCCGCCCGCGACCTTGGGGTGGGCAACGCCCTGGCTGGGCGGGCGCCCAGGCTCGCCCGTCGGTTTCGCCTCTAGCAGACCGCGCGGCGGGCCCCTCGCCTCAGGAGGCTCTGGGGCCCAGGGCGCCGCCGCCACGTCGCGGCGAGGATCTTCAAGCAGGGCGTCGAGGCCAGCTTCGCCCGCGGCGTCTGCTGCGCGGGGCTCGCCGACGCCGACCCCAACGTTGCGCGCGCTGGCGTTCTTGCGGGTCGAGATCAGGCCCTCTGGCAAGAGCCGCGCCGCCGTCCTCGCCGCCGTCGGCAGGGGCTACGACGCCGCGCTCCTGGCGCCGCGCGACCCAGCGCGCATGTTGCACAGGGCCGTCTGGGAGCAGTGGCTCCCCAGGCAGGCCCTGGACAAGGTCTTCGCGGCTGCCGCGGCCGCTTCGGGCAGCTGGGCCGACTGCCGCGGCCCCGTGGAGGCCGCTCTCCTCTCGATGCGCCGCGCGGGCTGGGGGGCGGCTTCGCCGGGCGCGCGGGCCACGCGCGACGGCTCCCACCGCGGCGTCAGCGACGCCAGCCCGTGGCCCACCAAAGAGGTGCTCGGCCGCAGCTGCGAGCGCTGGCAGGCCAAGCAGCCCAGCAAGCACGACGCCTCCTGGCTCGACGTCGGCATCAACTTCGGCCCGCTTCGGCGGTGGATGGCAAGCGGCAGTGGCGCCTCCCAGGAAGCGCGGGGCTGGCCCAGCCTCAGCAGCGAGCAGCGCGGCTACCTCAGGTCCTGCATCGTCGACGGCCAGTGGACCAACGCCAGGAAGTACGGCAACGACCGTTGTGCGCCCCCTCGTGCTTCTGCGAGCTCTGCCCCAACCAGGTCGGCGACGTCTGGCACAGGTACCTCTGCTGCAGCGCCATTCAGGACCACGGGCTCAGCCTCCCGCGCGAGATCGCCTCGCTGCTGCCGCAGAAGGGCAACGCGGTCGTCCAGAACCTCGTCGAGCGCGTCCTCTCCCCAGCCCTGCGGCCCCAATGGAGGCCTCCCAGCGGCGGCTTCCTCGACCGCCACCGCTGGTGCTGCGGCGAGCCGAGCGAGCCCTTCGTCGGTCAGCCACTCTACTGCGACGGCACGCCGTGCGACGCGCAGCTCGCCGAAGGCCGCGGTGCGCAGGCCGCGGCAGCGGTCGTCGAGCTTCCTCCAGACCCTGAGGAAGTCGACCCAGGCGCTGGCAGCCGTACCAAGGCGCTGGGCGCGCCTCTTGTCGGGCCCTGGCAGAGCATCGAGGGCGCGGAGCTGCTGTCGGTGCTCATCGTCCTGTGGCACGCCATCCCGCCCATCGAGCTGTACTGCGACGCCAGCTTCGTCGTCGACGGCGTCAACCTTCGGGGCGAGGCCCGCGCGACGCCGGCATCCTCAGCGCGGGGGCATCTCTGGCGGCAGGCGCGGCAGGCGCTCCACGAGTTCGGCGGCGTCGGCCCTGTGGGACTCACTATCGTCAAGGTCAAAGGCCACGCCGCCCTCGCCCACGTCGCCCGCGGCATCATTACGAAGAAGCAGCGCCGTGGCAACTACGAGGCCGACCGCGTCGCAGGCGGGGTCGCCTACCACCTGCGCGCCCCCTTGGCCGAGAGGCGGCGGCGGCTGCGCGCCCAGCTCCTCGTCGACGGTGTCGCGCACTGGGCGGCCGCGGCAGGTGTTCCCGCGGCTGCCGACAGACTCAACAGCGCCCGCGGTTACGTGGCCCGCGACGAAGCCAACGAGGACCGCCTCCGCCTCACCGAGCACTCGTTCGTCACGCTCGCCTTGGGCCACTGGCGCTGCACGGTCTGCCTGCGCACGGCGCGCACCACGAGGTCGAGGCAGTAGCTGTATCGGACCCCGTGCGCCCCCAAGATCGCCTCGGTGGCCAGGAGGGCGGCGCCGTCCAGTTTGGCAGCAGGCGCGGCCCTTGCGGCGGCGGCGGCGGCTGCAGCTGCCGACGGCGCCGACAGCCGACCAGGAGAGCTCGGCCCAGATCGGGGCCAGGACCCCGCGCCGAGTGCGGTGGGGCAGGCGCCCGCGACCGCAGCGCGCGCGGCTCGGCCCGCGGCCGGGGCTCCGCGCCGAGCGCGGGGGGCCAGCCGCCCGCCCCCGCGGGGGCCACCGCGGCCCAGTGCGACGCCGCGGCCAGCGGCCAGGTCGGGGCCAGCCTGGCTTGCGAGCGGGCCTCGGAGGAGGCCGCGAGGTCCCGCTCCCCACGGCTCGGCCGCCAGCAGCGCCAGCCGTCGGCGGCCCCATTTTTTTCAGGCAAAGTCATGCGGTACAGGTTTACGTGTTTCGTCTGGCAACACTACAGGGTCCGTCGGCGGCCTTAGCGGCGCCCGGCGGGGGCGAGCCCGCCGCCGAGGAGGGCCCGCCGAGGGCGCGCGACGCCCTCGGCCACATCGTGCAGCGCGCCTTCGGCTACGCGTTGTGCGCGCGGTGCCACGCTTACGCCAGGGGGCGCCTCGGCAGCATCAGGGCCCCGGCATCACAGTGCGCCCCACACGTGGGCGAAGCGGGGCGCATCCGTCGGCTTCGGGTCGACCGCATTCGCAGCGGCCTGCGCTCCGCCAGCTCGGCGCGCCTCGCGGACGACGCGGCGGCTGGCGAGGCACCTGGCCTCCCGAGAGCGGCCGCCCCCGCTCCGCGGCCGCGCTAACCGCGCTGGCCCTTCCCGCGACGGCCCACGCGTCGTCGGCGGCTGCGGGCCCCCGCGCGTCCGTGGCGTGCGCAGGGGGCGTCTGTCGCCGCCGTCCTCCTAGGGCTTTGTGGGCCCTGGAAACGACAGGGCAATTTTTTTACCGGTTTTGTTTTGCCGTTTCTTTGCCGGTTCCGACGCCGTTTTTTAACCGGTTCCGTCGCCGCTGTTAGACCGGTTCCGGCTCCGGTTCCAATCCAGGAGCCTTTTTTGCTACCGTTTCTGGTCGCCGTTTTTTTTGTCGCTTCCATTTTCAAAGGACATTTTTGGGAAAGGGTGAAACAACGCCCTGTCGTTTCCGGGGCCCACAAACCCCTCCCCCCAAATAAATACTCTCTGCGTGGAGATCCACATATAAGCGCATGTTTTAACATTTTCCTGGCAAAGCAACCTAACAGCGATGTGTAGAAGCAGATCTGGGAGCATTCCTTTTGATTTTTTTGTATGAGTCCTGTTCTAGAATTCGGATGCCTTCGCAGTCGCAGACGAGGATGATCGAAGAGGGCTCGAGAGCTCCCTTTGCCAGGACGCCCCCCCCGTGATCGCTTCTCGCGGCGGGGGGGGGGCGCCCCAGAACCTTGAGGAGGATGTCGGAACGCGCCCTGGCCAGAGCGCCCCCCCCGTGACCCCTTCTCGCGGCGGGGGGAAGCGCAGCAGAGAACTTCAGGAGGTGGTCAGAACGCGCCCTGGCCGGAGCGCCCCCCCGTGACCGCTTCTCGCGGCGGGGGGGCGCTCCATACTACATATAAGTACATACAGATGTATACAAAACATATAAGTACATACATCTGTATACATATTAAAACGTCGTGGATCCCCGCAGCTGAGGCTCCAGAGGCCAGACGCCATGAAGGCAAATCTTGAAACGTCCCGGATCCCCGCAGTTGCGCCTCCAGAGGCCGGAACCGCTGAGAAAAACCTTGCGTATCCTTCCTCGAACTCCTCCTTCTTCTTCCTCCTCCTCCTCCTCCCCCTCCTCCTCCTCCTCCTCCTCCTCCTCCCTCTGAGCACACCGCGAACGGGACCGTGCAATACCCCTCGGCGGCTCTTCTTAGGGACGTGAACATGAACGCCGCGCTCGAAACATCCTCCAAATCTGCCCCGAAAGCGAAGGATGTTGGGACAGAAAACAGGCAAACCGCTCGAGACGTCCCCACAAAACGACCGCGAACGGGATCGTGCAATACCCCCCGGCGGCTCCCCTTAAGGACGTGAGAATGAGCGCCTCGCTCGAGACATCCCCTAAATCTGCTCCGAAAACGAAGGATGCTGGGACAGAAGAGGGGCAAACCGCTTGAAACATCCCCACAAAACGGCCGCGAACGGGGCGCGCGTGAGTCTCAGCATGAGCAAGTCTGAATAGGAGTAGGTCTGAGTATGAGTAGGTCTGAGTATGAATAATGTTGTGTCTGAGTAAGTTTGGGCATGAGTAAATCTGGATGCGAATAAGTCTGCGTATGAGTAAGTCTGGGTACGAGGAGGAGAATAAGAAAGAGAAGGGTAAGGAGGAGAAGCAGAAGGTGTCCAAGTAATAACGAGAACCCCATCTTAGGATATGGGGAACAACTCCTTCCAGGGCGTGAGTTACACAAACAATCGACTGATTCAAAGGGATCGCGGGTAAAGGGGGGTGGACACGATGGGCGCAGACAAAGCAGCCACCCCAGCCGACAGGACCCGCGCATCGCTCGGCCCTTGGGGAGGAGAGAAGGATCAAAACTAAACGATCCCCCGTTCAACATCAACTAAATGCGTGGACGCACGAAATGGAAAGATGAATAACAAGTACGTACCTGCGGATGACAAGTCGCGCAATCACGCACGCGGCCCTTCCTATCCCTTTTCCCCCCGTCACAACCGAAGCTTGCATGGTAAGGGAAACTCCTTCCAGGGCCTGAGTTACACAAACAACCGACTGATTCAAAGGGTTCGCGGGTAAGGGGGGGTGGACACGATGGGCGCAGACAAGGCAGCCACCCCGGCCGACAAGACCCGCGCATCGCTCGGCCCTTCCCATCGAGGCGATCGCGGGCACAGGGCCCATCGTGCGCGATCCCAAACCCGCCCCAGTGAACCCTGGCTTGTTCTGGGCATTGCTCATGCTGCTGAAGAGAAGCCGTCGCAATTTTATCAGTCCAAATCCGAATTGTCGACAATTAACTCGGAGACCGCTCGCTCACTGAACTGGTCGCTTCTCAGGTATCCGAGGAAAGCTGCGCTGCGCCCGCCGCCCGCCTGTAGCGAAGGGCCCAACGAGCTGCAAGAATCGAGCAGGTCTCTGGCCATGCCCCGTCTCAGGCAGTGCGTGCCGAGCATGCCGCTGTCCGCTACACCGACGGCGGCTGCGTGACGTCGGAGGTCTGCTACAAACGCACAGCGAGATTTCGAAAAGATCGTGGCCGAACCTGCTCGCCAGGCCGCTCCAAGGGCCCGCTTCATATGGTGGTGCGCGCGCAGAAACGAGCCATATGATTCGCAGTTGCACTCTCTACGGAGCAGTGTGGCGTTCGCTCGTTCTTCTTCCTGGTCAAGGTGATAACCGCAGCGCCGCTTTCGCGCGCCACCGCAGAGCGAGGGCCTCTCTCTTGAAGTGGAAGGGCCTCAGAAAAGGGGGCCCTGAGCAGAGACGGCCGCGATACTGCAATAGGAGCAGCCATCTCGTAATCACCCTCGGCCTGCGCCAGCTTGACCATTGCGCGGGCGCCCCGCGCCTGGAGGCCCAGGCGGGGCTTGGGTGCTGGCGCCAGCTTGCGCACGCCCCGACGGACTTGCTGCGCTACGCTGCTGCCCCAAGAATTTGACAGCCTGATGAAGCGGGAGCCCGCCGGGGGTGCATTGACGAACATACTCGTGAAACTCAAAACGCTGCTCTCTGTAGCTGGGAAGTGGTGCGGCACGTTGGACGCGTCACACAAAGCGCCCCAACAGCGTATCCCACTGGCATATGTCGGGATAGACGCTTTGATTGCCGTCATCACTAGGCGCTGCGCCCGGTAGGCCATCAAGTCGTCAGCTGCAAGGCCAGCCGCCGAGGCCAAACTCGAATCCGTTTCCGGGCCCCTCCGGCCCCCACTAAGTCACCCATGCATGCCTCGAGCATGCGCTGGTCAAAAGTGTTACTGTGTAGGATTACAGCCAATTTTCCTCATTGGAAAACTTGCGTAAGCACTGAGCAACGATCCATGCGGTGCATTGTTCCCTCGGTAGCGCCAGAGCACGCCGGATCCACCAGTCGCATGACTTCCCTTGCTCTGGAGGTTGAGCTGGTGGAAGTTTCTGGTGCGCCAGGCGCCTGCCCGCTGGCGATGCTGGAGCAGACGTTGCTTGGCTGCACCCTTCCAAAGTCACAGGAACAAAGGCAAGCCCGCATGGGTCGGCGCGCCTCTGGGGCGGGGAAACACGACGACGCAGATCCAGAGTAACCGGCGTGAGCGGCCTCATGTCGAAAGTGGGCTTGTTACGAAAAAGCTACGGTGCTACGAGTCGTAGCGAACTGCTGTGCCGCGGGTGGGGCCCACTGCGGCGGCTCCAATTGCATGTTGCGACGCCTGCCGCGCATGCACACTGCAACATAGATGTCGCGCACCGCGCGCCGCGACACAGCTGGCGCTGCAACGGCGACGACCTTGCCACCGGACTGCGATCCATAACTGGCGACGCACGGCGAGAACAGATACGGCGATGATTGGGAAAATGGACATGAGAGCGTGGGAAGCCTGCGCCTGGGAGAAAGAGAGGAAGACAAAGGGAGAGGGGCGAGCGGGGAACGTAAAGGGGGCGGGAAAACGGGGAATGGGAGGTCGCTCAAAGAAGGATCAATGGCAAAGGTGGGTTCGAATGAACAGAAGGATGGATGGTGCTTCTCCCTCCTCGCCAGGACTGGCGTTGCACGAACCCACGAAAAAGGCATGGGGACGGGTGTCCATGCGACCGACTGCTGTCGGGGGGAGCAGCCAGCTGGCACTGGGCGACATGACAAAACCTGGCTGGTGCCACACACATGGGGGCGGGGTTGCCTCCGCGCGCTGCAGCAGCTGGTGCCGCCAATCAGGGCTGGCGCCCAAAAGCCGAACAATGGCCATGCAAATAAACAAAATAATGACGAACACGCAATCGTGCACACTGCGCCCCGGCGAGCACGTAGACAAGCACACAGGAATACCAGCTGGTGCTACCAGGGAAGGCCACATACAACCTGGGCGTCAAGACCGACAAAACATGACAGCATATGGCGAATGCGACATATGATGCGTCAAAGTATCCTCACCTGTACAATGCACAACCAAAGAACAGGTGGCGATGCTACAACGGGCTGACGCCCAGGCGCCAAAGACATGCATTCCAATAAATTCGCCAAGCTGGTATGCAACCAGCGCGCGAAACAATGCACGCGTGCGCGTGCCCCAACGCGGAGCAGCTGGCGCTGCCCAGTAAGGCTGGTGCCCAGGCGCCAACCCAAAAGGGGTATGAAATCATAATTTCGCCCATTTGCAGAAACATGATTGCGCGCGTCAACGCATGTACATGACTGTATGTATATGGCGGCGAAGGAACAACAGGAGTTCGTGTTGCTGAATAGCGCGCGGGCGCGTAGGACGCTGACTTGCGCCAGCCGGACAGCGTGGAGGCAGCGGGCGCTGTCGGAACACTGCTCGTCTGATGCTCAGTCGTGATACTCTGTCACTGGAAGCGTGGCTGACAGGGGGATTGATGACGTGAGTTCCACAGAAGCTCCCTCGCGCTGTCGTTGCTCACTGTATGTTCGTTATCGACAATATATTTGTTTGTTGGTTGTTTGAATTCCAGATGCGTAACTACATGACAAATGTGACAAATTACTGCAAACAGGTCGGCCTGGATACGGACTCGCGTGACCATGCGCATGAAAAAACGACCGCGCACTGCCCCGGCAGGGGGCCAAACCGACTGCAAACGCGGGCCGCACTAGGGCATGACCCGGG